GGGGGGGGGGTGGGGGTATTGGCCAGATTTTTTATCACTTTAATTTTATTATTTGGTATTTTTTTTATCACGTGTTAATTTTTCCCCCACTTAACTTTATTGATATCATACAGGGACTAATAATCCCCTATGTGATATCATTCGGAGGTGACAGGCTCTCTTTATGAGCCAGCTGTTCAATACAGAAGATACAGCACAGCATTGTGCTCCATCTTCTGCACAGCTCCGTTTGTGACAGCTGACAGCGCTCGCAGTACATCGGTCCAGACGTTCTCCGCTCTGCTCCCCATCCTGAACTGCTTTGCCGTGGTCCTGGGTCCCCAAAAAGAGCTGGGGAGCCCGAAAATCATGGCAGAGAGGGGCATACCATAGGGGGACGGACCTTGGAGGGGAAATGTCGGCGAGGGGAACGGACGAGCAGGCTGCTATACAAGTGATCCGGGCGGATCACCTGTACAAGCAGCCCGAACCTATTTTGAAAATAATATTTGGAGCCTTCGTTTGATTTTCTAATGGTTAGTAGTGTCTGATTGACGTTTGTTTTTAACCATAGTGGCGAGGAAAATCGAAGGAGCAAGTTGGAAAAAATGTTCTTTGTTTCTTATGTGAACTGATGAAATTCTAACCTCGAATACGATTTTGGTTTGGGTAAAATCTTACATATTGTAATTCCCAGGTGCTAGGCAAAAAGAAACCGGTTTAATGTGTCTGGGATTCCCATACAATTCTAACAATTCTAACAGTGTATGGCCAGCTTTAGTTACTTCCCGTTCCCCTCATTTATATCTTAATGGTGACTTTCTTTGGCATGAATTGAGGCACATGCACTACAATATAACATTAACAGAGAGTCTATCTTTTCCTACTCTAAAACAGAAAAATGAAAAGTTTTAGCTGGGCATTGACTTCCAATGTGCACAAAGTTTAAAAGAACCAATAAAGAAATATTGATTTTTGAAATGTGTAGCACTAAAAAGTGCAGATCAATACAACTTTGAACCTAAAGGCAAAAGCCATACTTTAGAATACCTATAAGTGCTGAACTTGATTAAAGTGCTGCTACCATAATACCTGCTCCCATAACCTAGCAAGTTGAAAATCACTGTGTTAGAGGGATATTATTAGAGCCGCAGCTAACGATTATTTTCAAAATCGATTATAATCGATTATGTCGATTAGTTGTTGCAGCCCTAGATATTATATGGATATATTTTTGTAGCTCTATACATTTGGTCATGGAACAGAATTTAGGTGACCAGAATAAGCATCTTGTTGGGTCCAGTGTTGTTGTGTTGTCAGTGCATGGAATACCAACTGTTAAGGTGAACATATGTATTAGACAGACCAGCTGAGAAAGTGTTTAGCTGATTCTTCATACAGCATGTATTAACAGAAGCTTGCTGTTTCTATGATGTAAAAAGATTATCCATAGGAGTAGGTCACAGAGTAATTAATGACAATGTTAAATTAATTACTAAAGTGACACCAGTATGAAAATGAAAACAAATGATCTGAAAAGACTTGGCGTCCTCTGACAGGCAATCCATGAATCCAATCAAATTAGATATTTCCATCTGACTGACTCAGTCGAAATAGGTACATCTTTGAAATCTGGTCATTGAATTTAATCCACAGTGGGGGGAGGGGGGGTTTGTACGGGTCTTTAATATCTACCAACGTGTAACATTTTTGGCAAGAGAGGACTCATATTTAACTATATATATTTACCAGTCATAAATAAGAACAGTAGTTGTTTTTCCATTCAGCTTTGGTCACTTTATGTCCTAACAGCTCCTCTTTTTAAAATTCTGGGCTGCTTGTCGGCAGAGCTCATGTTCAATCAAAGCAGAAAGACACAATAGATACCTAGACAGGCTCATTTGTCAAATTGTGGCATGCATTAGTCATGGCTATTCAAACCATGAAGCTTGGTTAATATCAGACCGCAGGATCCATGGATGGATTCAGCTAGTTTCCTATCCCTGCTCAGTATCTTAATATTCTGCATATTGCAATCATTGTTTTTAAAACTCTACTGTGCTTCATCCTGCAGTCGATTCATGTAGAACATGAAGACTTGAGGAACTTTTGTCAGAGTGTTAAGTTATATATTGTTTGGACTAAAATACTTTGTTGTATTTTTATTCTTTTTATTGCCTCATGCAAATCGGGCTTGAAGCTGCTGCTGAAGATTTCTGCGGCAAGAACCTGTGGATTCTTGCAGCAGGAATCCCAGGTGGGTTTGTAGTGAATGACAGACTAACAGCGGCCACATCTGTCAGTGGCTATCCATATGAATTGTACATGAAATAATTATCTGCAGCTTAGTATAGATGATTGTCTCTCGATGCAATCTCTAGAAATAGGCCCCCCCCCCCCCATAAAAAAA